TATGGACCCTTATTCTCCAAGGCAATTCTGTTTCGCCGCATGTGCGTCGAAAGATGCTTTTCACTCTGTCGTACGTAACTTCGATAAGTCTAAAGTAGTTTTCCGGCACCAAGTTTTTTCTCATACTCCAGCATGTTGTCTGATCAGGTATCCGACCCAAATCTTTCTTCACATTTAGGAACACCAGGTTCTCTAAAGACTACAACAACAAACGGTTATGAGTATACCATTCCTAGTACTTTCTTTCCGCGGGTGTTCATGGTACAGAATAGTGTTTTTGAATGGTAGCATTTTTGCTTGATGTTGTTCATCGAGATTCACCTTTATTCATACACTTCTATAGCATGTTTCAACTTAGCGTTTACTGCTTTCCTTAGGTACATAAGCCTAATATTCTGTTCAGTTTCTGCTTTTTCAAAAGCGGATCATAATCGAGTATGCAGATACTCTGAACCTTTGCGGAAAAATTTTAGTTACTCTACAAGGAACTGAATAAATTTAGCACACTGAACTGAACACTATGAATATTTATTTTATTTACAGATCTACTGTAATGCAGCATCTAAAGGTATTTGTCGGCAATAATAAGAAGAAGCAGTAAGAAGGCGGACTTATAAGTAAAAGTAGAAGTTGAATTCTGCCGAAGTCATTGCAGGAGTGAAGTTATTGAAATGACAGGGAGCAGAACGTGTGCTAGAACAACAGACTATCGGTGGATGAAAGAGACTGGATCGATTTCAAAGGGCAGTAAACGAGCCGTTAGGAAAACTCCAGATCGATGGCAAAATAAACTCAAGAAGGTTTTTGGAAGAAAGAAAAAAAATTGAAATCGCTGTTACACCTTACGCGGATTGTTACACCTGATATTCAGCTATCGGATATGTCAGGGCGAAGGGTAGTCACTTCGTGTGGTCACATCGGACAGAATGGCCATACTGCTCGTCCATTCTGCTATGAGAGATCGTAATACCATACTCTCCTTATTATTGACAAGTCACAAGCTGACTATCCGTTTTCTGGCTGATTGCGCCGAAGCGACGCTGGATTATCTCCTTGCTTAATGGAAGTCACGGTTAAGGCAAGGATTCCTCCTTGAGTTGATTCGTACCCGGCACCACGCAACCTAGAAGGTGGAGTAGCGTGAATAAAAGCCTCTTAAGATTGACTTTTGTGACAAATTATTTCTTCAGATGACTACACTCTGTAGTGAAACGGACATGGCCCACTATGGTACTATTCACACGGCTTTACGGTTAAACTGTCAATTGATTTCTAAACGATAATTCATTGTAATGATATAGGTGAAACGCTTGCGGGCGATCTACTTTCGCGATCCTTGCAGAAACTTTGCATTGACAGCTTAGGAGATCTTAGAGGACTTGAATGGTTTCCAAATTTCTTCAGATTAGATGCATTCGCACTTTGAGTCAAAATGAAATGAAAAATGAAAATCAAAGAAATGAAACACAAAACCGTTGACCAGGGGTCTTTTTTCTCGCAAGGTGGTGAGGTAACTTTTGTAAGCGAAAATGATTTCAGCTTTCTCCTTCTGAATTTTTTTGCTAATTGGCAGTGCAACCTTTATATAAGTAAGGCTTTTGTTAGCTTGCTGGTGCAGTTAAATATTTAAATTCTGATTCTCTTGACTGTATAAATAATAAACGAGAAAGAGTTACAGTGTCAGTAGATTGTGCTCTGAAATTCTGAATGAGAAAATCAAGCATTATGCTAACTATGTTTGGTAGCAATTCTATCGCATTCAGCCGGTTATCAACATGAAATCGAAATTGAATGGTAATAGTAGTTGAAAAATAACTGCATTTAAACAAGAGTCTTAATTCTTCTCTACTGCAAAAATTACGGTGAAAACTATATTGACTATTAATAGTACATGTAACGTTAACGCGCTATATAAATGCTGTTATGTACTTGGCAATTAATGGTTTGGTTAGGAAAATAGCGGCCCTGCATGTTACGTCTCCATTTACTATCTACTTCTAGGGAACAAACAACTTTTTCAAATGATAAATACCCTATGTCAAGTGAAAGACAAAATAAAATAGATATCCGCTTACCTGCGCGACTAATACCTTTAGAAGAAGCATCATGGACGGAAGCTTATACTTGATCGCTTTCTTTTCCTCACGCTTTCACCAATTATAATCCGAAGATTGAGAAAATCGTTTTGTTTTGAATGATAGAACAGCTGTGTACCACAGAACGCACTTCGGAAATCAACCCTGTTGTGAAGAAGGCTCGTGCTTTGAAACGATGGTACTGCTTAATGGCTTAATGACCCGATTCACCTATTTGGTTGCGTTGTATATGAAAGAACTATTTTAATGGATTTTGACTTAGTGTGAAAGAAGTTCACATGTAGTACAGGATTATTACACTCAAAATGGACTCAAACCTTGAAGGTCAGAGAGTGTCGACATAATCGATAAAAGAAGAACTAAATGACTATCGAGCGGATAGGGCATTCATTATAAGTCGTGCGATAATATTTACCGTTACGAAAGATGCTATATGTGCTGTTATTTGACGAATCTTATCACGGGCAGGCAGCTTGTTTTTTCGCTAAAGATGATCCTGTTGCTGGAGACAGTGAATTCGAGATCAGTGGGTAATTACCAGCCTAATTTTGAAGAAGACCAGTCAACTACTTCTCAGCCATATATAACATTTTATCACTTTAGATTGAGTCATTCGCACCGTGCAAATTGAACTGTTTACCTGCTTTATTTCTGCATTGTACACCTCAGTGGTTATTTAAATGAATGCATCATATACTCTAAAGCTTAGCCGAATGTTAGAGATCAGGTTCCAAAATGGACTTAAACCTTATCGGTTGTCTCTTGCTAGGCAACGCGGCCAGCTCTTGTTATACGCTCATAACAATGTCAGAAAAATGTGCCGCTGTCATCTGCCCTGAACAATTAAGTTATGTAAGCAGGCCCTGAACAGTGCGTGTGAGCATTTACTCTGCTTTCGACGTAAAAAATAAAATTAGGCAGGAGTACATTATCCGAGCTAGTGTGTAGGCAGCGCTGGAAAGTACTTGCATACGGTCAGTCGACTTCATATCTTTGTTATCGCTATTCATAGCTTTCCAAGAAAGGTCTTTGTGCACTGTTGTCTGAGGTAACACTGGTATTTACTTCTGTTTTACTTCCGGACAAGTTTGCTGAACTGGCCCTCAATGAAATCTTCCGGTTAGCTGTTTTAAGCTATTTTACTTGACTCTTTGATCAGGTCTTCTTTCTGCGGTTCAAGTAATGTTGAGTCAGTTCATAACCTTACGTTTCTTCGGCATGACTTTTTGACTGATCGTGCTTTCACGGATACCGCGTTATGAGAACGAAAAGTAAAGTTAAACTTACAGTAAGTATGTCTTGATTTTCAATTATAAGTGATTCTGATCGTTCCCCTTTTTCTATAAACTAGGTCATATAAGAATGGGATTTTCATGTAATAGGTGATTTGGATATTTTCATGAATATGTTCAGATCTTTGAATTTGCTAATGTTCTTTTTCCATTCTGCAGCCAGATTGGAGGATGATAAGTTACATTTAGGCAGTTATCCACTAGGCTCTGTTCCAGGCAAATTAAAAGACAGATCAGATGGTAAATCGAAACCTGCTTGTAGACAATACGTAATAACATAGGAAGAAATTGCATTTAGCATCGTGGGATATCGCTGTTAAGCAAAATGTTTAGGGCTCTCTTGGAATATGTACCGTGTTTTTATCAAATACATCAAAACGGATTTCGTTCGGGTCCTTTGAACGGGGTCGTACAACATATGAAATGCTCTCTGCTGGTCAGTCTGTTTCAATGGCCGTTTATGCTTAACGCGTCTCGGCGTCAGCAGCACTGTGTCTATCATTTTGGAGCAGAGTCCGTCAAAACGGTTAAGCACTGTTCATTATATTACTAACCATTGGAACTTTGTTGATCATTACTGGATTTACGGTCCGCAAATTCGGGTGGTTTAATGACTGGCTACATGATTTTCAGTTACCAGTATATCGCCACAGGGTCAAAGATTAATGATCCAAGTAATATGATGGCAGTGGCATATGTGAAATGATTCGGAATGACGAGAAGTCTAATATGTTAAGTTTTGATTATGGTACATGCTGGTTCCTCGAGCTCTTCGTATTAAACATTGTCCAGCAGAAAGGAATCAATGCTGAATCAGTCCGGATCATATGTGAAGACTGAAGCATGTGATTATATAATCAGATATCAGTTTGGTAGAGGGAACAGGTAGGCTGTAGGGTATGACCGACCACCTGCGGCAAGTTCGTTGGGCAATACCGTATTCGAAGTATGATGATGTTAATAATACTTAAATCTACACCGAAAGCTTGTTCATTTCTATTTATACTCTTTCATACGGAGAATATTTGCCATAAGCCTGAGACTGGGCATAGCCAAGCAAGTAAATGTGACCAGCTGCGAATGTAAATTGAATCTTTTTGACACAGACCCAGCGATTTGCAAAACGACAAATTAGTGACACTCTTTTAGTAACATTTGCTTCATTTTCGATTTATCTAAGCTGATCTTCATTCATATTTGCAAGGGGCTGTTTGCAGGAATGACCAATGATGTTCGCACAGTCTTCAGCTGGTACAGCTAGGTGCTGTAGATCGATATTATGATTTTGGTATTGTTTTAGTTTCTACATCCAAATGTTTTGCACCTTCTGCAGTCATTATTGATGTTATTATCATTTCGCGTTTTTGACTTTCTTAATGAATATGTTCTGTTTTGATATAGGTTACTTTTATTCACGAGATATGGCGCAGATTTTTCGCGTTGCCAGACGCTTAGAGGTTGGTATGGTCGGCGTGAACACAGGAGCGATTTCGACTTGCGAATGTGCCTTTGGCGGAGTTAAGGAATCTGGCCTTGGAAGGGAAGCATCTTATTTGGGCATGGACGAATTCCTGCAGACCAAAACGCTGTGTCTAAGTGGTCTTTAACCTAACTACTTCCGAAATTTACGGTGTTTTACGTAAAGCATGATTTTTTGTTCTTGGATTATACAGTAAAGCCTGCGTCAGAGGTGATCGCTGACCATACAATAAAATGTGGTCGCTTGAACTTTAGTCGTTTAAGGCTAACTGCGTTGAAAATGGGCTGTTCATTAGTTTGTGGTATCGACTTAGATTATAAGCCTAGTTACCTGCACTTAGACGAATGGACAATCGTTCGGTGCTTCTAATTGAATTTAGTAAACTAAGCGATTACTCATAAGATGCAACATGCTTATAAGATCTTGCTGACAAAAGTCGTCTATTTCATGGTGATTTTAATATCCGCTGCCTTCGTTTCCTATCAAACTTTCATTTTGTAACTTTTCTGTTTCTTGTCAATCTTTCTTCACAACTCACGTCATGTTTAATGTCAGGGGTCATAATCTAAATTAAAATCTGAGTTGTTATTCTAACGATGATGTAATGTTACTGTGTTTCCGGAAAGCATTATATTGTCCTCTTCTTCACTGATCTGCCGAAAGGTTCACGTACTGTCACTCCTGATCGTTCGGATTTTTTGATATGGCCTAGAGACTTTGATCATAAGGCACTAATGCTGGAAATTGGTGCTCTCTCTGCTGAACCCAT